TGTGTGTGTGTGTGTGTGTGTACTAAGCATGCCGAGCTTTAGCAGCAAGGAGAGAAGGCAGACAGGCAGATTAGTGGGAGAGAGATGAGAAGTCCGGAAGGAAGTGTGAGAGGCTGGCCAGCCTGGCTGCCTCTGGCCGAGTGGCATGGAACATGGCTGAGCCCCGTTCTCCTCTGTCTTCATGTTGGGATCTGGTCTATGGTCATCCACCCAAGGCACCTGCACCAGTCGCCTCTCACCCTCCAGTCCACTTAGCCACCCACGGCCCGGGCAGTTCTAGACGTGGCTACCTCTCAGGACCAAAGCGAGCGCTTCCTTCACCAGGCACTCCCGTTGTTAGCCAGCCTCTGAGTCATGGTGACGCTGGCACCGTCCCCTTGAGCCCTTGGGGGCTGGACAGAGCATCACTGGGAGGCAGGTGGTGGCTGTACCTGGAGCACAGTGGCCAGCGTGGAGCACGGGTGGGCCACCTGGAAGGTGAGCAGTCGACCCTTGACCCGGCACTGCCTTTCCTTCCCTATCAAACTGCTGGGGGCAGCAGCTGGCCCGGGGCTTTCATGTCCTCTAACTCACATACGCCAGGAACAGCGCCATGTCCAGCCAATCCTGAAATGCTTCCTGGCCCTGCGTCCATGTCCACATCTGGCTCTCCCTGGCCCTGGCTTCGCTCTGTTTGACCCTTGCCTGGATGGAGCCGCTGCCTTCCCACTGCTCCCTACCTCTCGGCTTGCTTCCCTCAGTACCATACCCTGATGGCCATCAGAGGGCACTGAAGGCATGTGGGAGACCAGATGTCGGTCAGCCCTGCCACCAAGGCCCAGCCATCTCCAGCCCACCTTAGTCCCAGATGAACACTGTCAGGCAAGACTGCCCACTCTTCTTGGCCCAGGCAACTCTTACCATCCTCACAAGGGTTGACTCTTCTGGAGGAAGTCATTCTTGAATGACTCTCGTTGAGGGAACGACTTCTCCTCTGACCTCATGGATAACCCCTCATTAGTCTTTTCTACCCAAACCCAACTCACTGCCATCGAGTCAACTCCAACTCATAGTGACCCTACAGGACAGGGTAGAACTGCTCCTGTGGGTTTCTGAGACTGTAACTCTTTATGGGAGTAGAAAGCCTTGTCATTCTCCTGCAGAGCGGTTGGTGGTTTTGAACTGCTGACCTTGTGGTTAGCAACCCGACTCATAACCCACCACACCAAATGTGTGGCTCCTTGTTCACCGCCATTCTGGATGGCAGCTCCTGTGGCTGCAGAGACCGGGTCTCACTCACCTTTGTACACTCAGTGCCAGGCACAGCATGCTTACTAGGTCTTTGATGTGCATCACTAGCATTTGAAAACCAGGAGAGGGACAGTTTGGACAGTGGGGCATTTGTCCCAGGAGGGAGTGACCATGCCACCTCCCACTGCTTTGATGGAGAAAGTGTCACTCATAAAGGAAGGGCACCTTCAGGGCAGATGGGGGAAGAGTGGGCACTAGAGTGTTAAACTGAAGCCTCTTGGGGGTGTTTTCAACTGCATAGACCACCGAGGGTATATACCACTAAGGTTGGTAGTTCAAACCCACCAGCCATTCTATAGGAGAAAGAAGAGGCTATCTGCTCTTATAAAAATGTACAGTCTTGGAAACCCGACATAGGGTCACTGTGAGTCGGAATCAACTCAGCGGCAGAAGTTACAAAGCAGTCATCTCCAACCTTTTTGGTTCCAAGACCCATTTGTGGAACACTCTGGTATGCCCCTGCTTGGCCCCTTGGATGGACTGCGCTTCCTAAATTCTGATGAACACGGAGAAAAGGTCTTCCAGAAAAAGGGCACTGGGTTTTTTACCAGAGGTGTTTTGATGTGGAGACATTTTGATGTGGTCTAAAAAGCAAATCATTAAATGGTCAGCCTCTCTGGTAATTACTAGGTAATGTGGCCAAAATACATTGCTGTCCAAATCGGCCTCATCCAGAGATCAGCTCGAGATTAAGGATGAGGTGAGGAGAACCTATTATCGCCTTTCACTTGGTTAAAAAATATAAACAAGCAGACAGAAACAGTGATAGCATCCACAATAAGATCCTTGAACCCAGGGATTTAAATTTTGATTGTTCTATCTCAAAAAAGTAACCCTACCTTGCACGCTCACCCCTCCCCAAGTCAGAATGTCCCCTTGCCAATTTGGATGTGTTGAAGTATCTCACATCAGCAGAAAAAAAAAATAGGTCCTTGTCTATGTTTCCCACCAGGAGTTCACCAGTATTTCAAAGAGATGAATGGAAACCATCTCCGATTTGGACTGGGATTGTTATCAATGCATGTGGCGATACAGCGGCAATTTATGCTGACCCAAAACCTGACAAGACTGAAATACAGCTCCGATCAATGAAAAGGAGAGATAATGAATTAATTATAACTTAATAAGTGTACTTCCTCTGGCAGGCAAAATCTTTCAAGGCAGGGGGCCCACTTGGGAAGGTCGGATAAAAGTCCTTGGAAACAGGCAGGCTATGGGATCAGTCTGTTCTTGGAGATGCTGCCTGGCTGCTTCCTGGCTCCTGGGGACTTCTCTGCTCAAGGGGCTCAGCATGCGATGAGCACCTACTTTGCGTAGCTAGGCAGCTGGGTGGGTGGTGGTGTTAGCGTCCACCTGCTTTTGACAGACAGGGAGACAGCTCACCGCACTGGGAGTGGGCCTGGTTCTCTGCCTCAGAGAGAACGCAGCCCACCAGCGTCCCCTCATGCGGTGTCTTCTGACCATTTGTACAGCAAGGAATTCTGGCTGGCCAGGCTCTGGAGATGCCCTTATGTGGGAATAGGACCAAGGTCCCTGCTGGGACCTTCACATTATAGAGCTGTGCTGGTCCAAAGCGCTCCAGGTGATAGGACCTCTCTTCCCATGAAGCTCCCCGGTGGTGGGTGATTCTTCTGCACTCCCCTGTCCTGTCCCTCCATCCAGAAGACAGGTAGGGTTTTAGTGGAAAGAGCCTGACTTTGAGCCAGAGCACTGCTGGGTCCAAGTCCTCGCTTTGTGTGTCAAAGCAGGAGTGTCATGGATGACATGGCACGATGCCCTCCTCTCTGCGGAAGGAGGCAGTCTGCCTGGAACCAATAGTGCCTTGCAGGAAAGGCCTGGCCATGGCTTCATCAAAGCTCGTGGCCTTGAGAGCCCTCTGGAGCACAGATGGATTCTGACCCACACAGGGTGGGGGCCCCTAAGCTTGGATTGGCTGATTGTAACTGTTGGGTTTGGTCCCTCCAACAGCCGCCCCCCCCCCTCCAACCCTCCATCCCCCTCTGGGAGCCCTGCAGGAGTCCTTTGGTCAGGTCTGATCTGGTCCCTATGTCAGTGCTGGGGCGGGGATGGGGATGGAAGTGGGAGGCTTGGGGTGTGCCTGGGCCATTGATTACGGGTGGGTGGCGGTAGGGGGCCTGAAGCAGCTAATCCGATTGCAGCCAAACCTGGTTATGGCATTCCTGCCCATAATGCCATTTAAAAAGCACTCAGGACGCTCTGGGTAATGCATTTACACAGAGGCCCCAGGGGTGGGCTTGCCACAGGACACGTTACCATGGAGGAAAACCCGGCTTTCCTTCCTAGGGGGCTGAGGGCCGGCTTTGTCCTGGGCCTCGGGAGGAGAAAGAGAGCTAATTTCCCACGGTGTTCAGCCGTCAGGGATCGTAGCAATATTTCAGTGCTTTCCATTGAAACGACCCTGGCAGAGTGGGGCTGGGGGCTTTTTCTGGACTGCGTGGCTGTGGGGGAGCCTGCTGACCTCTCTGAACCTCAGTCTCCTCATTTGTCAAAGGGAGCTCAATCGCAGCACTTGCGTGGAGTTTGTGGAGGACTACACTGGCAGCTCCGACTCCTAACTCGGAGGCGGTGTGCAAAGGGTGGTCCTTAGCCCACAGGGAGCGAGGGCATCACCTGGAAACGTGTTAGCGATGTAAACCCCTGATCCCCGCTCCAGACCGACTGGATCAGACAGCTCAGCGCTGTGTTTGAACCAGCCCTGCAGGGGATTCTGACGCGGGAGACAGATGAAGACCACTGACTGAGTGCGAGAAGGCTTGACATTAGCTTTGCTACCTGCCAGGGCCTCAAAGTGGCACTGGGGAGCCACCCTCCCTCCAATCTGGCCCTGCTCTCTGCATTCCTGTGGTGAGGAGGGGGGGACATGAGTGTGACCCTTACTTCCGGGACTGGGTCCAGAAAGGAGGTTCAAGGTTAAGAACATCGTCTTGTATGCATGCCACTTTTTGCTCACTGTTTTCATATCTATCGCCTGCTTTGAACAATGTCAGCTAATCGTTAAAGAGCAATCTACCTTAATTATAATTATTAAAAAAAAATTTTGGTGGAAACACACACACACACACACACACACACACACACACACACACACACAATCTCTCCAAACATCCAGTGAGCTTCTTAAGGACAAAGAATACACCTTGCTCCATTGTCCTATTCTGCTCTCCCACATGGCCCCATCTCCAGCTCTTCCACCACCTCTGAGACCACAGTCTGGGGACTCTGAGCCGTGGCACGTCTGAGCTCCCCAGGGGGCATGCACCCAGACGAGGGCAGGGCTGCCCCTCCACCTCCTGGTCTCCAATACGCACCTGTAGGTGTCGGTGGCTGGCACCTTCCAGATCTGGATGCCCTTCAGGGGGCCGTGGCTCCCCACCACCACGCTCAGGTTGGAGTGCCGGTAGGCGTTGTTGCATTGGGCCTGCGTGGGGCCGTGGGGCCCGCTGGCCCCACACGTGGTGAACAGCCAGTGAACTGCGGCACAAGAGGAGAGATGTCACCCACGTGGCCTGGTCCTCCCTCTTCCACAGCCTCCCTGGGATAGCTCATCCACGCCCCCAACCCCACCTTCCACCACAGTGCCAAGGTTGGGGCAAGAGCCACCGCCCGATCAGTCATTCAAACTGGAAACTTCCATTGAGGATCTACTGTGTACCAGGCTCCATGTTAGATGCAGAAATGGAGCTGACTAGGACTTGGCCTGAAGATGTTGACAGCCTAAAAACCCCAAACCAAACAAAACCAAACCCACTGCTACGGAGCTGCTGATTGTGCGGATCCCAGCCCGACAGGTAACCATTACACCACCACGGCTCCTTTCTCCATGCAGCAGAGTATCAAAGATGGAAACATGTGTCTTTGAGTCACACCGCTCCTTTTCCAAGCTGATTGTTCAGCTTTGGCAGTACCCCTGGTCCTTATCCCAAGGAACCATTAACCCTCTGTGGCCTTCTGGGGTGCCACAAGAACACCCCACACAAATATGCCCCTCCCCTGCCCACCTCCAGCCTTTCCCTCTTAAACCTTCTCTCTTCGACTCAGGCTGGACAGGAGGGGACTGTGCTATTGCATGCTGGCCAGAATGCGAACACTTCCATACCGTCACACATTTCTCTAAAGAGCAGTCCTTGAGACAGTGCTCTTTCCTTAAAATACAAAAATCTCATTGTAAGACTTCAGAGATTATTTCTTTTTAAAAGAGAAACCAAGCCAAATCGGCGAGGCCAAGAATGGGAAAATTAACTGGGGAGCCCATCACTTTGTCCGTTAGATGTTCGAGTGAAACCGTTGGCTGATGACTTTCGACCGAAAGAAAGATGCCCAAGGAAAGATGAATTAGACTTAGACTTGCTAGTGACAAACAACCCGATTGCGTGACAATGGGCAGG